TGTGTGTGTGTGTGTGTGTGTGTGTGTGTGTGTGTGTGTGTGTGTGTGTGTGTGTGTGTGTGTGTGTGTGTTTTGGTCACTCCTCGGTCTGGTCCCTGCTCTCCTGATTGTCATTTACCAATCATCACACCTGCACTGTGCCAGTCATTATTGACCCTCTATCCTTTACTGATTCACTACCTGGAAGTTTTAGTTATTACATGTGCTTATCGAGCCTAAACGTTGTTTGTTCTTAAAACAAATTACTTTAGTTTCTACAACCTGGCTGCTGCCTCCTACATTTGTGTCCTTGGTTCTGTCTGACCCTTCTGGAACCCTTTGTTACAAGGGTATTCAGTCAATGTTGTTGGTGAATAGGCAGCATATTTTCAGAGAAGTGAGAGATATTTGAAAAAAAGCTGTTTGCATCTGCTGAGCACAGACCACCTCTGAGCTGAGGGACATGCTGGTTTGCTCAGAGTGTGAAGGGACAGCCAAGATACCCCGACTGTTCCTTGATTCTGAGGAGTTACCTGAACTGAGTGAGGTCTTTTTCTTCAGCTTTCCTGACTGTTTTCTTCTTCTCTTACTTTCTAAGTTTATTGTAACTTGTCATTTAACATTTGTTGGCTCTGAGGGCGTTATAAGGTGCAGTTTGAGGGTTGGTTCGTCAGGTTTATGAAGGTAACATTTTCTGAGGGTTTCTTAGCTGCTTTGTCACTACATGAGGTTTTAGACCTGGGGTCTTGAGAAGACCATAAGTACTGGTAGTCAGCATGTAAACCTTCAGATTTTTGATGTCCTACATTCAGGCGCAGTCCTAGACTGTTTGGTGCCCAGGGCAAACAACTCCACTGGTGCCCCCTGCCACCCCCTCACCCCTCTAGTTAGCCTACCGCAGATTAAACGGTTGTAATAGGAAACCAATATGTAGGGTATTTGAAATAATGCCTTTTTTTAGGGGGAGGGGCGGGGTCATGGCCAGGCAAGAACTGCTACTGTCTACCTTCATAAAATATTGATTTAATGTTTTTTTTTCTGTGAACTTAGTCAAATGCTCTTCAAATGATTAGGAAATGATTTTAATTTTTTTAAAGCATTACCCTCAGACCCCTCAAAGACCACTTCACTCCACAGCTGCTTGTTATCATAAATATGTGTCTCTCATTGATATTAGCAGATGCTGGCAGGTAGATTTCTGAGATTCTGTTTCATTCTAATTTATTTTTAACTGTCGGACAAAACTATTTTATTTCACTGTAAATTGACAGTGAGATTAAAAAAAATATGCTGGGGGCTAACCCCCAAACGTCAGTGTGAAGTTTTGTGTTTTTGTGTTTTTCTTGCTGTCCTAGTGCCTCCCTCTTGTGTAGTCTTCGTGGCATTACCTCTTTACCTCAGTTTCACCCTTCTCCATCTTTCCATTCACACCTGTTTACACTTGTAATTAGCTCAGCTGTCTTCCATTTCCACTCACCTCTGCTTGTATAAACCCTGTTCAGTTTCTCCGCCTTCGTCCGTTCGTTGTTAGGTTTCCCACCCTGGCTTTCCCCTGTGTTCTCCAGTTTTATGTGTTTCTATTTTGCCGCGACTTACTTACTTACTTACTTATTTAATAAATAATTATTTTTATTTTGAACTTGACTGCTTGCTTCCCTGCACTTTGGTCCAAACCTGACAGTCAGATCCTATTGCCCTGCCTTGATCTATCCATTAGTCAGGATCAAACTTTTACTCCACATTGTGGTTGTTCAAAAAAGGTAAGATATTCTTTGTTCATAATTTCTCCACAGAACCCTCAAGACCTAAACTGTTGCTTTATTCTAATAAGCTAATAAAACCTTTGGTTTATTTTGAAGAAATTCTTTTAAAATTGTGTATGTCTATGATTTTATTGAATAAAATAGATAAAGCAGCTCTTATTATCGCTGATTTGTTTAATAAAGCGCAATTTGAGGCTTTTATTCGGCTGATTATTGGAACTTTTGATGCTGCGTCTTTGTGCCTTTAAAGCTGGCCGTGCAGCAAAGCGGCCACCTGCTCCGAGCGCACAGAGCCCATCCATCACACACACAGCTCTCTTCTCCACGTGCACACACTGGTTCTCCTTTTAAAGCCACTGCTCAGACGTGCCCTGCGCGACAGGTTCCTCAGTGGACGCGCGCGCACACGGGCCCCCCCACAGAGGACCTGAACCCTGATTTTAAACCTGGAGACTGATGGTAAAGGAGGAGGAGGAGATTCTGCGCTGCGCCATCTGAGAGAGACACCGAGGAGGAGAGAGGGTTGGGACCGGGAGGAAGAGCCGAAGGGAGGGAAGGAGGAGAGAAACACCCACACTGGACTGATCTTATCTGAGCAAGAGGGAGAAAAGGAGAGAGAGAGGAAGGAGGAGGAGGAAGAGGAGCGCATTGGGAGGCAGCAGCAGACACATTTCACTGGATTTCCTTTTGGGGATTAAAGGACGCGCTGAATCCATGAGTGCAGAGGTATGAAAGATCATTTAATCTGTTTTCTGAATGAGACTCAGGTGCTGCTCTCAGCCCAACCTGTTACTWAAACCAAAATCTGACCTCATATCGTAGAAACTTTAATAGAACCAGCAGCCTGCAGAGAGCCAGGACGCATCTGTGCTGCAAATTCAGACAAGGACCTAAACTTGAACAAATGCACATTATATGCTTGGCATCAGCTTTTTAAAATATAATCTGATGAGATCACTTTTTAAAAAAACATACAATTTCTGCAAATATAGTTGTAAAAGTGTAGAATTTTTCTCAAATAAACAAGTAAAATTTGTAAATAAACTCAGGTTTTCATTCATAAATCAACCCGTTGTAAAGTTGTAATCTGGAAGAGCATTCTCTCAGATCCAGAGGAACTTGAGTCTAAGAATAATGAATCTTAAAAAAGTCTATTTTTATTCATCACTTTTAATTTTGTTTCCCCACCATTGAAGTTTGTTGTTCTGCTAAAGTAAATCTGTTGTTTTCAGGAGCATTTAATGCATATTAAGATGCAGGGTCATTTTGTCTGGTCTTTTTAAGCCCGCCTCACAGGGCGACCGAAACAAATTTCAGTTCATTCATGATGTGTCTGTCAGCCAGGTGTGTTCCTTTGAATGTGTCCATGCCCTCGGGTAATGATGAGTGGCAGGCAGGAGATGGAGAGGATGCAGAGAAGAAAAAAGTGAAAGAAAGCGATGAGATAAAGGAGAGGAGAGGTGCTGTTGTGTTTGCTCTTATTGTCAGATGACGACGCTCATCAAATATTCTCTCYCAGGACCGTCCATCAAATGATCCCCCCCTCCTCCTCACAAATCTTCTGTCAGGCCCTTTTTGTTAATTTAATTTTCTTCTCGGGTCTCAAAGTGGTCCAGTGTTTCCCCCTCAGCTCAGTCAGCTCTGGAGGAGGGAGCCTCAGTCGCTGCTCTGCGGTCAGTCCAGACATGTTGCTCTGAAATTGGTAAAAAGGGGGATTGAGGACCTAAATAACCAACTCCAGACCAGTGTGCAGGAGTCGTGTGAGCATGGGATCTGAGGTCACTCTGCAGCTGACTCCWTTTTTACTTCCTTCCCATTCTTATCTAGCTTTTGCCCCTTTGTTCCGTCACTTTTTKAATTCGACACGTTCCTCTCCCTGCAGGTTTAGAGGGCTGCCGAGGATGTTGCCGACAGGAGAGGTCAGGTGGCGTTTGTGGGCCCCGTTGGTGGTACTGGCCCTTGTTTCCTGGCACCCCAGCAGGGCACAGGGTCAGGGTAAGTCTACCTCTTCTTTATTTCACTTTCACCCCTTCTGTCATCCATCCTCTTCCCAGTCAACCTCTCCACTGTAGCTCTACATTTTTCCTCATTACTTCAACCTTCTTCCTTCAGTTGTGTTTGGTTCTGATAGGAGCTCAGATAAAAAATCACTCCTGATCATTTCACCCTGACAGCAACACTTCCAGCGTGGTGTTTCATGCTCTCATGACTTCTCTACACAAGGTATTGAGACAAAAAAAGATGCAAAGTTATGCTTTATTGTTTAATCAGGAAACTTTATTTCATCASTGTTTCCTCAAAAGCATCTTTGATTTAATCAGTGAGCGTTCACAAAATAACTGATTGCATTCTCGAAAAGATATTCAAATTTGTTTTGTTAGGTAGTGTTTATGAGAAAACACCTTTTACTTTATTTGGGTCACAGTTTTTTGTATTTTTTTTGCAACATTTTAGCAACTTCGGAGCTCGTTGTTTTTTKATTTTAAAAATAGCCTTTATTGAATGAATGCACATCACCTGCCACTTCTGTGCTTGAGTTTTATTCTAAAATCATATTACAGTGAGAAATGATGAAGGTTTAGTCATTTGGGTCAAACCTTGAAAATGTCACATCACATGATTTATTAGTAGGCTWTTCAGCATCAAATCACAGCTCAATGGGCCTCATGCAAGAACATGTTCGTATTCTTATCCTAAATTTCTCTTACTTTTGTTCGTACAAAGGGTTCGTACGAACATGTCACATCAGATTCAACAAACTCTTCTATCTTCATGAAAAGTGTGTAAATGAGCTGCGTAAATTCCACCTGTTCGTATCCAGCTGCTCTGGGGGCCCGGGCCTCTGTGTCCATGCCTGGATCCACTCTGGTGTGGTGGGTACTGGAGGGGCCTGTGAGTTCGTCACTGCTGGCCCCAGGGGTTGCTGTGTGTGGTCGCTGGTGGGGCTCTTCTGGCTCTCTCCGTTGGTCCTCTTTGCGGGGTGAGTGGGCGGCCCTTCCGGCGTGGGTGTCTCTGGGGCTGCGCGTTTGGGGTCCCACTCGGGGTCTTTGGCGCTGGTCTCCCTTATGTCGGCTTCCGGCTTTTCAGGTCGGGTCTGTGGTCCCCCACAGTCACTTTGAAACATTCCATTGGAGAGATCTTGTATATACATGCATGCTCACAACCGCACACAAACAGGTGTTTACATCCTGGGTTTTCTATTCGGGCACTGACTGAATGGTATGTGCATATGTGTATGTATGGATATATGTATATGTGTATGTGTATAAATATATATGAAAGTGTTTGGATGTGTAGGTATGGGTATGTTTATGTGTATATGTTTAAATTTATATATGTATATGGGTATGATTTTCAACAAGGCTATAGTCATTATAATTATATAGATATGCATTTTTGTTGCTGTGGTTTGGCTCTTTGTTTTTGTAGGTGTGGAGCCAAGAAGTCGGGTGTGCTGTCTTGTGTTTTCTCAACATATATTTCACGTATCTTCTAATCTCTCTTTCACTCTTTCTCATTACATTTCACTTTTTTCTTTCTTTTTCTCCTATTAAAAAAAAGCCACTGATGATGAAGAAGCTAAGATACTAATATTCAGATATTCAGTTCTGCTTTCTACTGAAGTGGCAAAAAAATGTTACCCAGAATGCTTTGCGTGTAAATAAAATGGCTCCGTCCGTGTTAAAATAAATTTTTAAAAATTTACAAAACTAAAAAGCCTACAGTAATTTTACAGTCTTTATTTTACAGTTCAAATATGTTTATCAAATAAAGTCTAATGTTACAACTAATCGTGGATCACTTTAAAATGTAAGGAGTAAAATGAAAAGTTAGCTGAAAAAAGACTCCATTAAAGTAAAGATAACCATAATTCCTACGTAAGTAAAATAATGAAGCATTTGAACTTTGTTACTTTACACCTCAGCCAGTGATAAAACACATACCGTACACAGAAAAAATGTGCAAGTGTTTGTTTTTCTTTCTTTAAAACAAATTTTCAGTGGATCAGACTATTTGCTGGAGAAAATAAATTATTACACCTTTTGCCTTTAAGTGGAGTCATATGACACTTGCAAAAAATATATCATGTTCAGTTATTGTAGCGTGTTCATATGTGTAGAGGACAAGTGAACAAATACAGAATTAAGACTTGAATGTTGTGGGTAAGCATGAAACACTTACAAACCAACCGGTTGGACTATCTACAGACAACTTTTATTATCTCTGCAAACGGCTTTGAATTCAGGAAGCAGATTATAACACCTTCTTCTTGAGCCCAGCCCCTTCTCTAGCATCACATCAGATCCGGGGCAGAACTCCCTATGGAAGAGCTGGGCTCCGTAACAACAGTTCTAATTACTAGTGGGAACAAAAGTTATGTGGTGTGCATGATTAAGGCATGTATTAACTAATGCATCACTGAGTTGACATGACATGTCACGCATAGTTTTATCATAAAAATAGATAATTACACAAAATTGATCCTAGTTACCCTCAAAATGAAAGAAAAGGAAAAAAATAAGA